TTAGGTAATAAATATTATAAATATATAAATTTATTATTTATATTTATTTAATAATATTATTAATACTCTATATAAATTTATATTTTATATTTATTTATTAGGTAATAAATATTATAAATATATAAATTTATATTTCATATTTATTTAATAATTAATAGATATACGTTTAATTTATAAATGTTTACATTTATGTGCAATATTAGTAATTATGACAATAGATTAATAATAACAAAACAAAAATAATCGTGAAAACAAAAATAAATCTAAATAAAATAAAATTTAAAAAAATTAAAATTTATCGTTAATCTATACTGCCATAATTATTGACACGCATAAAATGTTATCGCGTTATTGAAATTTATTTGTTCAATATTATTTGTTTATTATGAAGTTTAAAAAAAGTTATTGGGTTATGTGGAAACTATTAATATTTTTAATCCACATGTCTTTTTTTTGCTTCTTCTTCTTCTTCTTCTTCTACTTCTCTTCTCTTTTTTATTTTTTTCTAGTCATAACACGGAGAAAGTGATCTACTTTCTCTTGTTGGAAAGAAAACGAAGAAGACCGGCATGCGAGGACGAACTGGAAGTAATGAGAAGTGGTGTAAGAGGATCCGGGGGACAATTGGAAGCCGATCCACCAAGGAAACGTGTGGACACGTGTCGTGTTAACGGTAGTACGGCACTAAATCTTGGACAAATTAGTCATGGTTCACCTTTAACACCAAGAAGACAATCGAGGTAAAATTATTTCATCATTTAAAATATATAGATATATTATAATAATTTATATTATTTATTATTTATATTATTTATTATTAATTTATATTATTAAATATATATATATATATATTTATATTAATTTATATATATTTTATGTTATTATATATTCATATTTTTTATTTATTTTTTATTTTTATATATTTATATTATTTTAATATAATAATAACAAAAATATAAAATAATAAAATATAATATATATATTTATACTAATATATTCTTCTTTTAATTTTATCTTATTTTATTTTATTTTATATATATTTTATATTATATATTAAGAATATATTATATTATAAATATATTTTATATGTATAATAATTATTATAATATATATTTATAATAATGTATTTTTTTAATTTTACCTTATTTTATTTTTTGATTAATTTTCTCTCTCTCTCCCTCTTTCTTTCTCTCTTTCTCTCTTTCTTTCTATCTATCGTTGTCTGCTTTTTTATTTTTTATTTTTTTTTGTAGACGAAGTCTTGTCGACGATAACTGAACGGTATAGGTTCTTTGTAACAAAGAAAAATATAACAACGTTAACGATGGCGAACTTCTTATCGGTACTCTGACCCAGATCTACAACTCTTATCATTTTTCCAATCGAAAAACTCTTTGAAACACATTTGACTTTAAGAAAACTCGACAAATTCTATAATTATATTATATATATATTATTTTTATTATTACTTTTTTTTTTATTTTACGCATGCTTTTTTTCTGAAATTCAAGGTATTTGGATTTCAATTTTATTTTTTTTAATTTGTTTTCCATTCTCAGTATTCATATTTTTTGCGAAATATCGTTATATCCTCAACGAAATTTTCATCTCTGAAAATTAAGCATTTTAACTTTAACGAGAAATAATTAAACGCATTTTATTTTTCAATGCATGACTCTCTAATTTTCTCTCTTTTCCTCTCTGTCTCTTTTATTATAATTTATTTTAATTTAGTTGAATTTTTGTTTCTTTCTTTATTTCCTAGACTAACGTATAATATTCAACGAATTTTTGATTGAAGAATGCTAATATTAACTACGTTGAAACACGAAAAGAAATCTCTTTTATACGCTTTGAATAATTTACCAATTATACAAATTTACATTTCTTTTATTTGTTTCATTAATTCAACTTAATGTTCGATCATAATTTTCAGCAAATTTTTAAGCATTCAAAAACGAGTCATCATTTTTCTTAAAAAAACACATGAAATGTAAACAATTTTTTTTGTAATTTACCTTTTTTTATTTTTATATTTTCTTTAAATATATTTTAAGGTTCAATCGTAGTAAAAAGACAAAATTTCCCCCCCTTTAACCCTTCGAATGCTATGGACGCATATATGCGTTTGGTAAAAATTACTAACATGTTCGTTCGACATAAATACGTGCTTGTTAATATTTACAATAACGTAATGTTTATATTAATTAATTAAATTATTATATATATTTAGAAACAAAAATTTTAATTATTAAATTTAATTTATTATTAGAATCTTGTTAATAATAAACTATTCAATTTAATTTAACAATTTATTTTAATTAATAATAAAATTAAATATAAAATATATTTTAAAAGATGTTATCCGCAATGCACCACTATAGTGGCACGTTGTACTGAAAGATAGCATTCGCAAAAGCCACTATAATGGCGTATAGTGTCTAAAAGGGTTTATTCATTAAACATCAAATTACCAAAGACACTATAGTGGCGTATCGTACTAAAAAATGGCATCCGCGAAAGCCACTATAATGGTGCATAGTGCCTAAAAGGTTAATTCTTGTGGACAATGAAAAAAAATGGTAAAAAAAACGTTCGTATAATTATCAGGGAAGAATACATGAAAGCTTACGATCCAACAGACGGACATTTAAATCGCTCGAAGCGTTTTAACATCACAAACGTATATATATATACGCGACCTTAACTTTACGCTGGGATATCGCGTGACTTTGTTGTTACGCCTTTGGACGTGTCGCGTGCTCGATATCACACGCAGTTCTTCGTTATTTTTTCTTTTTTTTTCCCCTCTTCTCTTTTTTTTTTTGGCTTGTTTTCTTGCCTTCTTTTCCTATTTCGTTTTTCTCGCGTTTAAACTGGCCACCTATTGCGAATTTCGTATGGACGATTAACACGAGAGAAAGAACATAACGTATTTACATACTTACACGACTAAATTCTGTATAGGTTTTTTTTTCTTATTATTATAACTATTATTAGCTTTCAATCGAATTTTTTTGCAATCGTTTAAATTCGATTCTCTACAATGATAACATGCTTTGACCCATTCGAAACCACTTTGCACACCGTGTTTGCAATAACTTTTTTCAGAAAAGACCCCAGTTGCACACAATGTGTGTAATAATAATAAATTATTATTAGTTATTTTGAGTATAATATTCGTCGAGATAAGACTTGTTTTTTGTATGAATATTATCTTTAAAGTATAAAAAAAAAACAAAATTTAGTATTGGTTATTGTACATACCAAAAAAAAAAAATTAAAAATTTTGTTTGGATTATCAAAATCTACATTTTTAGAAACTATCAATGCAATTTTACTTTATAATCAGTGTACCATTTCCTAAAAGTTTAATTAAAAATTATATATATTTTTTTTTTTATTTATTTTATTATTATTATTATTATATTATATATTCTTATTATTATTGCACGCATGGTGTACAACTCGGTATTTTTAAAAAATAAAGTTGTTGCACATACGGTGTACAAGTGGTCTCTAATAGATAAATAATCATAATAAAGTAATCAATTTTGGTTTATAAAATCCAATTGATATGTACAAAATAATGATCCTATACGAAAAAAAAATAAAATAAAATAAAATGACCCCTAGTAGCACAAAATATTAAATACAAGTGTATTTAATATTAACAAAGCCTTTTTCAATGTATTTTGTGCTACTAGGGACGTTTACTACGTAAAATTGGGTTAACAAAAGAAAAACAATCATTTTATAAGATAGAAGAAGATAAAAAAAAAAATATTTTCAGTACGAGGCATCACGCAAGACGTTCACCTAGTACCGGATGTCACACGCATGCATCTCACTCTCACGCATCGACACCTGGTGGTTCACCGTTACACGTACCAAACGTGCCAGGTCTTCTGAGTCCACACAGATCGGTGCCAAGTTCTCACATAAGTCAAACGAGTGGTAGTCCTCATCGACTTTCGGCGGTAAGCACTACTACTGGTGGAAACGGTAATTCCCCGAGTCAAGGGGTGCCCACACCAACTCCGGCCCTGGCCAATGTCGGGATCGAATTGAACGATGTTCAACCTGGTAAGTCACTCTTTCTTTCTTTCTCTCTCTTTTTCTTCTTTGTAGAAATCCAATTAGCTTTTAGTAAGCTCGTTTGCCTTTACTTTGTGTAAATATGTGTGTATACATTATACATAAGATAAGGGGTTTGTCTCGAGTCACGTACCCCATAAGAAAGCGTATAAAATGTGCAATTTTTATAAATATAAACAAAAGATTATATTTTTCGGTATTTATTTTTGTAACATTGATTTTTATAATATTTATACGCTCTTACAATTATATAATAATTAATTATAGTAAATGATATATATTGGTACAATTAAAGAGGTATCAGGGTTCCTAAATGTGATAGATAATAAATTAATAATAATAATTATTGATTTTTATTTATAATAAATAATATTATATGCATAGTAAAAAGTTAATTTTTTGCTATATTTTTAATATTTAAAATATAAACATATCATATCCATGTAAACATATTTCAACATAAAGGTAAACATATAAAATAAGATTTAAAAATTTACTTTGAATAAAATTAAAATTAAACCACGTGTCTTATTAATAATAAACAAATTAAAACAATAAATAGAACTATTAAGATTTAACATAAAAAAAAATGATTATTTCAATACAACTTAATAATAATAATTAAAAAAGTAATACAAATTGATCGATAATATTTCGTTATAAAATCTATCAAACATATGCACACACAAAAATCAAATGATAAGGAACTAGCCATAACAATTAATTAACAAACACTAATCGCACGAATCAATATCGACTCTCGATATTGCTGAACAATTAATTCAAAATTTCAAAGGTTCCTACTTCATCAATACACACATACACACAACCCTCACCCTATATAATGGTAAACGTTGAGAAATTTCTTAACAAGTTTTCTCGATGAAAATTTTCTTCCTTTTCTTCTTCCTCTTCTTCTTCTTCTTCTTCTTCTTTTTCTTCTTTGTAAGCTGCTTTTGTAAACGATCCATAAAGAAGAAGAAGAAGAAAAAGAAAGAAAATATGGCAAAGTTGTTCCATCAAGAATATATATCCATAAAAAGCAATCTCGGAAAACGAATACAAAGTGACTTAGGCTATATGAATAAATCAGAATTATTTGGTGTATGAATTTAAATGAATTTATCGATAGATAAATCGATCGACAGATCGATAAATCATTCCACCCCTTATCATCGTCTTCGTCTTTCTCTCCCCCCTCCGACTCGCCCTCCCCCACCCTTTTAACATCTATTTAGCAATTCGATAAGACATACATAACTAGTTGAAAAACTATTCTTCTCACGTAAAGACGATAAAGTTTTATTTCAACGAAAGAAAGAAAGAGAGAGAAAGGATCGATTAATCGAAATCGTTTCCCGTATTCCCATGAGAAATGGGGATGTATGATAAAAGAGTATCGAGAGGAAAGGCAAATACAGAGGAAAATCATTGCTTTGGCAAACGACTACCGGAATAGTAGTAAACGACAAAAAAACGAGCTACTACCTATAATCGAATTGATATCTGCTCCAGACATCGCTTTTAAACCGAAACCACGTATGCGAAAGAGAAAGATTATGGGATGACAAAAAAAAGAGTAAGAGAGAGACAGGAATATGTCTATTCAAGTATTATTCGAAATTTCACTAACTTCTCAAATGATTAATTTTCCATACCATACAATTCAAATGCAATAATACTTACTATTTCTATCTCTCTCTCTCTCTCTCTCACTCACTCACTCACTCACTCTTTTTACTTGTTTCTCTCTTACTCTTATTACTTTCATCTCTGTCTTTCTCTTTTTTTCTTGTTTTCTATCTTTCTTTTGATTTTGGTAACAATTCATCGAATATCCGTCAATCGCACTAACGTTTCACGTGTCACTTCAAGCCCTACCGAAAATGTAATTTTCCTGACTTTTCATTTCCCCTTTCTATACTTATACAAGGTGTCCTCAAAGTCGATCTTTATCGAGAATAAAAAGAAAAAGATATCGATACATGTGTGAGCCGTTTATTTTGAAAGTAGCCTATAAGTCATATTTTTCTTGTTTTGAGATTTTTAAAATTTACATTTGAACACTAAATGAATTCTATAATAATATTGAAATAACAAATACTATCTAAGACAGATTCATATTTGACAATATCGTGTGAAAATTATATTGAATTTATTTAATTTAAAATAATGTTAAGAGTGAAATAGCCTATAAATTCATTGTTTTTTTCAATTTTGACTTAGATTAGATCACTTGCATAATTATGGATACTTTAAAATAATGTCGTGTGAAATTACTAATGAACTAATTTTTTTTTTTAATTTTGACTTATTGTTAAATAACTTTCATAATTAAGGGCACATATACATATGTGAGCCGTTTATTTTGAAAGTGGCCTAAGTCCATTTACGTTCGAATCGAGATATTGAAGTATTTGCGTTGGATTATTACAGTTAAAAATATAGATAACAGATGACATAGTTGAATAATGTTTTTAAAGTTTCTAAAGATGTCAAATTTATCATCCTAATTAGAATAATTAACATTATTTAAGAAATAATATGTTTTTGATGGCTAAAATTGGACTTAGGCCACTTTCAAAATAAACTTCATTAACTATCAAATTTTTGAGTTACCAAATCTTAATGAATTTAAAGATATTTAGTAACAAATTTCTTCTCAGAATGAAAAGATTATATAAAAATGTAACTATTACAATAACTAACTTGATTTTTTTGGAAAATGGATTTGTCACTTTCAATAGAAACAGCTCATGTGTATTATAAAATGCAAAATTTTGTTTTACATTTTATTACATGATATTACAATTCTATCATAATATTGGTAAAAAAAAAGGAAGGTATATTGATTCGTGATAATCCCTAATCATTATATTAATTAAATTCATTAACTTATAATACAGGTAAGGAATATTAATTATAAAAAAAAAAGAAAATTTCTAAAGCTTTTTAGTTATTATAATAATAACAGCAAAGTAATTCCTATAGTACTGTATGTGTAATATTATATTAGTCTATCATATCCGACTAATCTCACACACTACCCTAACACTTTCTAATCCTATCGAATTACGTCAGAAGGTCCCTGTGTTTATCGTCTTGAGATCGCGTGTCAATGTTTAACTCAGATTCTCTTTTGACGATGACATCAATTACGATAATGTTTCTTGAAAATAATCTATATTAAACTTGTTTTGACATTTTTTAAAATATTACATATTAACTAATTTTCAATATAGTTTACACTTAATTGAATACAAATTAGAGACTTGTACAATTTTCAAAATAAACGGTTTATATATTTTGTAGATGTTTGTTAGCATAATGCTTTCTTGTATGAATAAAAAACATATATGTAATACTCCTATGTGGACAGTTTCCATAAATGGAAGCTGTTCCAACAAAGTGAGACAGATAATGTCACCTTCTCTATCCTCCTAGCTTCCAGCTCAGTTCTGCGCATCCTTTGTGCGCATACGGGAAAACGTCGAATAATTCTAATAAAATATATTTTTACAATAACTTTTTATTTTATTTATGAGGAAAATAAAATTTAAAAAAAAATCACAAATTTTTAAAAATTTAGGATTATTTTTCTAAATTATAATAATGAATAATATTGTAAACACAATTTTAACCATAAAATTATTCTCCAGTTTATATCCCCACTACTGATATTTTTGAGAAATTTCAAGCATGCGCAAATTGAACAAAGTGTTTCGGAAGAGAGAGAAAATAAATATTGTCAGCACCGTAATGTTGGGACATTCTTTTCCGTATTAACTGTCCATATAGGAGTATTACATATATGAAAAAAAAAACAACTATGCCCATTATTATGAAAGTAGTCTAATTATAGGTTATATTTCTCTTGTTTCGAAATATTTAAAGAATTATATTTGAATACTAAATGAATTCTATTATATAATAATATTGAAATAAGAAATACTATCTAATGGCTCATTTTTGAAAATATCGTGAAAATTACAATAAATCACTTTATCTTAAAATAATGTGGTGTAAAATAACCTATAAATTCATTTTTTGTTTTCAATTTTGACTTAAACCACTTTCATAATAATGGGTACAATTATAAAAATTTCAAATGCGATAAAAATGATGACATGTTTAGGATAAACTTAGGGTTGTATGTATAGTACGTACTTAGGAAAATAATGTTAAATACGATCCAACAAATTAACGACTAACATCAAAGAAGGAAAATAAAGTAAAAGAGAAGGAAGAAGAAGAAGAAGAAGAAGAAGAAGAAGAAGAAGAAGAAGAAGAAGAAGACAAAAAATTGTCTTTTGGACAATGTGTACTGCGAAATGCTCTTCTTCTTTTCCCTTTACGAAACGCGGCCGTCGAAAGTGTTTGCACTAAGTCCGAACAAAGTCCGTGCCGAGGGCATTACTACCCTCGTCGACGTCTGAGTACTGCGTTTTATCTTTTCGAACCGGTTGGAGACGCTTTAAAATATGCAACTGACCTCTGTCAAGCGTGGATTTTTTACTTTAACGAGAGAGTGAACACTTGCACGACAAATTTTTATTCAAAGGGAATGTGTGCTAACGTGTTACAAAATGAAGAAGAAAAAGAAAATGAAAAAAAGAAGAAAAAAAAGAAGAAGGAAGAAGAAGAGAACAATTTTTGCCACCAAAAAAAAAAGACATCCACAAATATATTTTTTATTTTGTTTTTATTTTTTTTTATTTTACGTGGATAGGTTGAAAAGTTTATAGGAACGACAATTGAATAGAAATAAAATTCTTTATTTTTTGTCGGTCAAACACTCTCTATTATATTACTCTTAAAACTTTTTCAACTCACCCTTGTATACACAGGGTGCCTCTGTATTTTTCTTTTTACTGGGTATAATTTTATGAGTAAAAATGAGAAGAAAATTTTCCGCGAATAGAGGACTCTTAAAAATGTTTAGTGAAAACAAATTGATGACATAAATATCGTCGGATTACTTTCACTATAAAATATAATGAATAAATCGTTGATTTAATATAATTCTAAACTATTTAGTAAATTATAACAACACACAAAATAATACCATAATTAGAATGGAATACATAAAATACTAATACTGAAAAAAATATAAAAAGCAAGATTAGTTATGTCATATGTAAATCTGAAAAAAACGTATGACGTGAATATATCGAAATAATTGAATTGTAATACATCGCCATCTATTATAAAATTACAGTACCTAAAGACCTAGATAACCTTTAATTAATAAATCCTTAAATTAGCAATAAAAAATAAAAATAATCGCGATAAAAACTATTCAATAGTCTAGGTAAAAAAAATCACACAAAATAAAAAAAAATCATTAAGACCAGTCCAGTAATTTCGAAATTCATTGGAAACTAACAATGTGACACTGCACTTTTATATATGAAGAACGAATTTTAATTTAAAATTTTCTGTGTGTTTTAAGCGATTCGAATTTGAATGAAAACAAATTTTGCATTTCCATATTTGTCAGCTGAATTCATTTCTTTCTCTTCTCTCCCCTTTTGTGAAGGGATCCAACAGATTAATGTAAAATACGAAATAAAAAGAAGACAATTTCCATCATGTTTCAATAAATGAATTCGATACCCGATGGTGAAGGATAAAAAAAAACATATTGATGAAATTTCAATTTGTTTTACAGTGGTAGCAGTTGGTGTTACACCACCAGGTTCGCCACACACTGGTGCAGGTTCCGGTGCTTATCATTGGAGATCACGATTAACCACCTTGAAGAATTCATTCCTAGGTAGTCCCAGATTCCATCGTCGTAAACTACTAACCAGTACGGAAGAGGTAAACAAATTTATGAATAATTTTTTCTTCAATGAAAAACGATTTAACGTTTTAACAAATTTCACATTGATTTTTTCGATTTGAATCCAAATCAAAATTGTTTTTAACGTATATTTATTTCTTTTTACTTTTTTTTATTCAAGGTTCATCTCACACCAGATTCCTCACCAGAATTAACGAAAAAATCCTGGTTTGGTAGTCTTATGACGACAGAAAAGGACGAAAATTTTACGGTTCTTGTTAAAGGAAAACCATTAGCGAGCGTGAAAGCTGATTTGATTCACGCATTTTTGTCGGTAAGCTAATATATTTTAACACTAGATATACCAGACTAGTCATTTTGACTGGTCGGGTTATTTTAATTCAAAATTTCTACTTCATGTAACATTTTGTTCTGTAAATAATTAAGCGTTTTGTTATTTAAAAATGTCTATAAATTCATTTATTTATTAAAATTATTATTGTTAAACATTTTTTTGTTCTTTTTTAAGAGTAAATAAAAACTGGAAGCCTCAAATAGCATTTTTTTTATACACCAGTCATTTTGATTAGTGTGGTAGAAATACGTATACTGAAAATGGTGGTATATCTAGTGCTAATTATTTATAATATAAAATAAAATAAATCACACAATCGATTAATATAATTATAAAAGTGTGTATTAGATTACAAAAAATAAAAATGGATAACTTTCAAATTTCATATAATTCATATCATATTAGAACAATTATTAGTTATTAAAAATAAACCGTAAAATGAATTTTTTATAATCAATTTTTTGACTCACTATCAGAACACCTGTTTTTTCTAATCCATAATTACTGACGCATATATCTCATCATATTTATATATACATATATATTTTTGTATCGATTCGCAGATAGCTGAACTATCTCACAGTGTGTGTTCACCAATGGCATTCAGAGTAGAATATAAAAAGGGTAGCACGGCACCTGCTATGTTTCAAAGGCAGGTTAAATTTCAAGTTGACATCAGTGGTATCACAAAACAGCCTAACGAGCCATTGTTCGCCATTACTTTTACGTTATTAAGTGGTAAATATTATATCATTCAACAATCTTTTCTAATTTTTTTTATTTCATTTTTTTTATATTATAATATATCATATGATGTAGCAATTAATTTGGTACCTTTTTTTTACGCAAATTAAGTATAATATTACATAATTATAAAATAATCATACATCTGTTACTATTATTATTATTTTTCATTAATTCTCGTTCCAATTTTCAAAGAATTCTGTTTTAAAATTCATTGACGACAACATAAAAATAAAAAAAAATAAAAAATATAAATGACAATTTATATGGAGCGAATTTAAATATCATCAAAAAGGTACCAAATTAATTTCTACATCGAATAATTTATCACTCGATCATGATTCTTCATATTTTTTTTTATTTTCCATACGAACAAAATTCTTTCTTCGAATCCTTTCCCTTCGTGTCTCCTTCTCTCCCCACTCTTCCCTTTCTCTCTCTCTCTCTCTCCCTCTCTCTCTCTCTTTTTCTCTTTTTTTCGTACGTATCCTTGTCACGAGTTTATGCCGAATGAAAGATGCGGCTAAGCGAATGACAAAACCGTAGGTACAAAGCCCTTTTCAAAGTCTGACTGTAGACACCGTAAACCGAGAGAGAATGAGGGAGGGAGAGAAAGAGAGAGGAGGGAGAGGGTGGAGAGAGAAAAAGGGAGTAGAAAGAAGTGGTTTGGCGTTTGGCATTTGGCAGCCATCCAAGCGCAACTAGATCGATGTTACCTTGGCACGTACGCCTTCTCCATACCCGCGTTAAATCTTATCTACGTATATTTTACGGGCCAAGGAACTCGGTTATACATATATATATATATATGTTTTCTTTGCGCGTTTTCATACTTCGGTTAAAGTCGCAAAGATTGTTATACAAAATCATTCTATTTCCTACTTTCATAGATTTGTAATTTTTATTTTATTTTATTTTGTACGCATTTTAATTGCATCAATAATTTTCATCAAATACAGATCTCTGATCTTTGAAATGCTCTAGTTATATTTATTCATCGCATTTTAATTATCCCTTGTAACACAAAATATTGAATACACATGTATATTTAATATTAAATTAGATTAAATTTAATATTAAAAGAGATTCAATGTCTTTTTAATATTAAATACACATGTATTCAATATTTTTTGCTACTAGGGATAATACTAGCTAATTATATAATTAATATTAATTAATTAATAAACAAAGCAAAAATATGCGTTAAAATTAATTTTCCTATGATCGAGGTATCTAATTTATGTCGTATCTTTTTTGTTTTTGTTTATCTTTATTTTTATTTTATTCTTTGCGCATTTTAATTGCATCAATATTTTTAGTAAAATACAGTATCTCTGATAAATGCTCTAGTTATATTTATTTATCATATTTTAATTATAATACGACATAATTAAATATAATATTAACACATTCGCGACCGGCATATTTTTTCCTTTTTTAATACTGAGTACTGGCAAAAATTATGAATTATTTAAATTTATATTTAAATAATAAAATATAATTATTTAAATATTATAATAATTTATTTATATTAAATTTTTAAAATTTTAAATGACGTGAATTTCATGTCGGCGATAATTAGGAATAAAACTTGAAAAGACGTAAATTCACGTCAGCGGTCGCGAATATGTTAATGTATAACATATTAATAAATATAACTCATATTTTAATTATATTACGATAAATATATATAACTAGCCAACTAGTTATAATTACTATTAAATAATTAATAAACAAAAAAAGTATACGTTAAAATTGATTTTTCTATGATCGAGAGATAATTTATGTTATTTCTTTTTTCTTTTTTTTTTTTTTAAACAAAATTTTTAACTCAATAATTTTTGTACTTGTTTTATCTTTCGTAGGAAATATTCGAAGATTTAGGAGGGTCTGCGAGCACATACAATCCCAAATATGTACTAGAAACGTTGGTTTGAATTTAAGCGGACAAACAAGAGCAGTACCATCAAGTCCAAGGGCATCACGAAAATTTGCCATGGAAATGAGCGAAAGTTCTAGTTGTGGAAGCGATACCAGCGAAAGACTTTTTCTCAATCCTCATCCAGCTACCAGACAGGTAGTCTGTTTCAACAAGGTAGTGAACCATAGTCATCCTCCTTTCATCATTTCTTACTTTTTTTTTTATTCTATTTTCTTTTTTTAAATTTTTTCTCGAGTCCTCATTGGAAGTTAGGTTAATTCGAGAATTTCTATTGGTCTTTGTATTTCTTTTATATATATATATAATCTTCGCGCGCGGGCGCGCGTCTATTCTTTATAGAATTTAATGGGTAAATAAGCTAAACTGTGTCTTACTACAAAGTAGACAATTCAACTGTTTTAACACAATTTACTTGGTATAAGTTGTTTTTTATTTCTTGATGGAGTTCATCAGGTAAAATCGTTACGTTTTTCCCTTGCATTAAATATATTAATGCAAAACCTGTTATTGTATGTTCCGTTTCATTGTATCTTCTTGTGCATTCCTGCGCTATCGTTGTCCATGATAGGTTTTTTTTCTCATTGATTTTGCATCTTATTTTGTTGACTAAACTAAACTTTAGTCTCTCATTTAGGCCATTAGAAAATGATGAATTAACTGCAATGAATACTATTGGTATATTTTCTTCCTCTAAGAATCTTTTAAATTCTTTTGAATTTATCCCTGGATATATTAATCCGATAGGACTATGCCAATTTTGTTATTATCTGTTACCTTCATAACTAGCTTTATAAAATCTTTCGCATTTTGTGACTTGGATGTTAAAATATACGCATATCTAGTAAAATGATCCATTAAAAGGTATAGATATTTTTTCGTTGATCTGGATCCGCCAAATCCTCCAATTATATCAATTGATATAATCTTGAATGGCTCTTGTGCGGATACTACATGTGGCATCAATCGATATTTCATTTGTCCTCTTGATTTGTTCTTTTTCGTTACTGTTGTTTTCATTTTATTTAAACCAGCATAAAGATTCCGGATGAAAGCGATTCATTTTCCCTTTTTTTTCACAAATTTGACATGGTCTCTTTTGTTGTTTTTTTTCTGAATCCTCTTTGGCGTCTTTATTAGCAGTCTTGTTTTTTGTATTTTTCTTTTTTTCCATATATTGTAGGCTTCTTAATCTACGGATCAGATTTGTGGTAGTTTTTAATTCTTCTCTGTCGATTTTGTTTATTACAAAGTCTGGTAATCCTAACGCAATAAGATCAATCAGAGTGCATGTATCAATTGATTCATTTATATCCAATAACATTTTTTCTTTCTTGAATGCGTAATCTATAAATGATCCGTTTATATATTTATATCGAAACGCATACCTTACCGAAGGCCAACCTACGTCTGCATAAATCGTGCAGAAACTATTCTTCCAAATTTCCCATCGCGATTTTATTGAATGTTCTATAAGCATACAACTGTACCAATCTAAACACGAACCTTCCAAAAATAGTCTAAAAATTTCAATTTTCTCTTCATCTTCATTTATGTCTAAACGACTGCATTCTTTTTCGAATCTATTTAACCACTGAATTCCGTTAACATTCTTGCCTGTAAACTTTTCAATTAAAAATCTTTCGGCTACATCCTTTAAATTATTTCGCTTTCTTTGTGGGTTATATTCATTGCTTATTTTAGAGACAGCTTCCCACATCCTTGATAAATTATAATCTGTTATATTACATTTAGGTTGTGACTTACTCGTAATTTCTTCTAAATAATAGTCACCGAATTGCATATTTCCTTCGTCATCTATATACGTTTTTCTCATGTTTTCATCTAGCGTTATCAAAACTTTCGTAGATTGGTTTCTAAATTTCAGAGTGGATATTACTCTTTGAAAAGCTTCTGTTTGTAAAACATCTGTGTGAATTGGTGCATCTTGATATTCTTCTGGGATAGCATAAGTCTCCCCATTTACCGTCTGGATAGAGGTTATGGCATAAATATTCTCTTTTGAATTCTGAGGAGCCTCCTTTAGCACGAATTCAAAACGTAGAGTGTTATTGAACACTGTTTCAAAATCGCTCATTGTTCATGAATGTTTCAATCAGCAGAATGTTGTTTTATAATGTTCGTCTATTCTTTATAGAATTTAATGGGTAAATAAGCTGAACTGTGTTTTACTACAAAAAAAAAGGTTATATTTATTAAACAATAATAAAAGCTTTCTTACATTATTTAAAACTTTCTTATCTACAAAATGGAGAAACGATATTTAAGCCTATTCTTCACTATCTTTCTTTCATTTCTTTAACTTCTTTAACTTCTTCAAACTTCTTTTTCTCTCTTCTATATCTATCTAACCTCTATATCTCTCTCTTCTACCTGTATCTTGTAGTATATTCTCTTACCACGTGACTTCAATTGTCTTAACGACAATTTACGCGGCAAAATTTAAATGGGTTTATAAAATAGTATCTGTACTGCTTTATATACAATATATATATATACAATATTTTTATATAAATTTATTATATAAATATTATACAAATATATTATTATATATATATATATTATTAGTTAGTTAAAATTCTAACTAACTCCAGAACTTCTACTTGTCCTTTTTTTGTTTTTTTTTGTTTTTTCCATTACAATACTCGAGAACGTTGCGTTAGGATTTGTAGTTGAATTCRGTGATCATTATAATATACTAAAAAAAAAAAATTATTAGAGAGAAAAAAAAAAGAAAGTAGCTCTTGACGTGTCGATTTGAGGCACCCTTGTTGCCCCTTGTTCTCAGTAATATAACGATTTTCAATTTTAGTAGCGGATTAAAACCGAACCAAAAATGAAAGCTATTGCCCGAAGAGTGGTATTGATGTACTCTCGATTCACGTAAAAATTTTGTTTTTTTATCGTTTTCTCGTCGAACATACTAGCACAGATTTTATTTTTATTTTTAAGAAATGAAATATAATAATAATAATGAATTCAAATTATAGTTTCCCATATTTAGTCGATTCCATGCTTGACAACCATATCACGTAGAGTATATCCAACAAATATAATCTAGTTGTAATCTTTCTCATTTATCTCCTAATCGTAGATAATTTCTACCTCGTTATATATATAGAAACCCCAACCCCACCCCACTCCTTTTAAATTAGAATTAGTTTAAAGACAGAAAATTAGAATATAATTAAAATAATATTTAAAATTTTATTTTCACGATCGGTGATAATGCCATAAAGTAACATTTTTTAATGGAGTACTGTGTTATACGCAATTTAAAAAAAAGAACAAAATAAACTATATGAACATTTAGTAAAAAATGACAAATTTTCAAAATAGCGTACTAATCGTCAATTAAAACTTAGTCGATAAAGTAGAACTATTAACACTTGATTTACGGACTGAGCTAATTTGACTCATTTCACATTTTTTTGAGATACAAACTTAAATATTATTTTTTTTAAATATATATGTTGGTTTTTAGTTATGTAATGAAATATATTAGCATATACAGGACAATCATCCTGCCAGTAGTTCTTTATGGTAGCGAATCGTGATTGCTTACGTTACGGGACGAAAAGAAATTTAGGATTTTCGAAAACAAAGTTCTTCGTAAAATCTTCGATGCAAAACGCGATGAGGAAACGGGCGAATGGAGAAAATTCCATAACGTTGAAGTACATCGATTGTACAACAAACCGGACATTATCAACGTCGTAAAATCACGCCGATTAAGATGGGCTGGTCACGTGGCGCGCATGGGGGAGGATCGAACGGCGCACAAAATATTGGTCGGTATACCAAACGGGAAAAGACCACTAGGTAGACTGAAACGTTAATGGGAGGATAATATTAGAAGAGACCTGAAAGAAATAGGATACGAAGACCGCGAATGGAAGGATCGCGCTCAGGGACGGGAACAATGGCGGGATTTGGGTATTTGCGGCAATGAACTTTCGTGTTCCTAATGCCAGTTAATAATAATAATGAAATATATTTAAATATTAATTCCTAAACTCTACTCAATCTTTCATTCAAACAATGTTTGTAAGTCATTAAAAAATAATAAACAAAACATCTGTAAATCTAATGTTAAATTTTCACCGATCGCGAAAAAAAATCTATCTAATGATATTATATTATTAATATTAATTATTATCCTTTTTCTTTTGTTTTTTTTCTGTTTTTTTTTCCTCTATTCAACAACGAATCAACACAGATCGACTCGGACATGGAATCGGACACATCGGTATTCGATGTGAAATCTCCTACCCAAGAAAATGGCCGTAGAAGTTCTACGTCTACCAACAACAACAATCCTTTACCTGGTGACACGAATCCAACCCCAGGTAGTCCACCTAAAGCTGTACGCAGTAATTCGGAGAGTCAAAATACACCGGAAAAAAAGTGCGTCACTACGATGAGCGGTAACAACATAGCGTGATACTATCAGAACTTCCGTTTCGAATTTCAATCGAGTCTGAAAAATATCTGGGACAGTGCTCAGAGATTTTGGTGAAATTTCATAAAGGATTGGACAACAATTGGATATTATTATTATACAAGAATAAGAAAGAAGGGAAGATAAAACATAACAAAAAAGTTACCGAGAAAAAGAGAGAAGAAGAAGAAGAAGAAGAAGAAGAAGACACGTCATGTTTGTATGTGTGTGTGTGTATGTTGTGTGTGTGGGTGTTTTTTTTTCTTTTCTATTTTTATTTCTTTTTTTATTTAATTTTCGTTAAGTAACATCAATCTTAAGAATCAAATTAAAAAAATGAATATACTTAACGAATGAATTAACGAAATTAAAATGAAAAAGTTCGAAAGTAATTGAAAAGAAGAAAGTTTGTTTATCGTAAGAACTTTTAAATAATTCTCTACAATTTTTTTATAAATGAAAAAAAGGAAAAAGAAGGAAAGAATACTTCAATTTTCATACTTTTTCTTCGAACTATTGTACATTCAACATTTTTTTTCCCCAAGAGACGAAAAAATCACAGGGAAGAAACAAAAAGATGATTTAAATGAACAAGTTTATTTATTTTAAATAGTCAATATTTTCTTCTATTCTATTTTTATATCCCAGGATAATTAAATTTGCGTTCCTGGATGAGATAAATCTAAAAAGAAAAAAAAAAGAAACTACCTTACGTTTATTACGAAAAGCCAACAAGAAAAATACCCTCCACTGCCATTTGGTGAACCATCGAGTTTCGTTGGCAAATTAATTGATTTTTTGATAGTTTTGTTTTTTAATTATATTTAGACACATAGAGTTATTAATAATTTATTTAATTTGTTTAAATTGGCACGTGTGTGTTTGTGTGTGTGTGTGTGCAAACACATGCACGTATCGTCTCGTTAAAAGTACTACGCTGTTATTTTTCTTTTTATATTTTTGATCATTCTGCCGTAACACACAAACAAACAAAATATGTCGATTTTTTAAGAGAACGAAAAATTAATTACCAAATAAATAAAAAAAAAAAAACAAAGAAAATCCGCACGCACATAGGAAAAAAGAAGAAAAACCAATCAGATCTAACAGAATTGCAAGAAAAACCTACGTGAACGGTAAAATACAAAATGACTAATAAAAAACACTGTAACCCGAGGCTGGTACGAACGAATGAAAAAAAAAACAAACAAATTAACGTAAACGAACACAATCGTAATTAAAAGTCGTAAAAATTGTGAAATTAAAAAAAAAAAAAAACAAAAAAGAGGTTAAGAAGAAGTTTAAAGGAAGAATTTTTCCGACAAAGATGACAAGGGCGAGAGATTTATTTTTTTCACGCACGAGAGAATAACCATTTCAAAAGACTACTAATTATTATGAAACATTTTACGTAAAAAAGTATTTATTATTAAACTTTAAAAACTGCATATATATATATATAATATCCCCACGTGTAGTAGTTTAAACGCGACGCGTGTGTGTGCTGCGTGTATACGGCTTTTTTCTCGTATGCTTTTTTCTCAAAATGTGAGAATGAAATATTAAAAAAAAAAAAAAACAAAAGGGAAAAAAAGAAGAAACCAGTTAAAAAGAAATGAAAGAAAATTAACCAAAGAAAGAAAGGAAAATATTTAAAAAAAAACGAAGAAAATGAAGAAAAAAAGATCAGAGGAGGATAGAATGAAAAGAATGATTTCAAAATAGCATCTAATATTTCTATACTTTTTAAAGAAGTACGAATAAACAATAAGGTATTTAAAAAAAAAAATAAACAAATATATTATTATTATAAACTTATAGACACTCTTTTCTCAAACGAAGACATATCTCAAGATTGTTCTGGGCTTTACTTATTAGTGGAATGTGATTTAAATTTAAAAGAATAAAAAAAAGAAAAGAAATGAAAAGGAAAAACAAAAGAAAAATAAATGGAAGAATAATTGAAGAATCAAGATTGTAACACGAAAATAATAATAATAATAAAAATAATGCGAATAATTGAATACGAACAAGCGTTGTAAGGTGTGTAATTGGTTATATTGGCGTTACTTTGTTTATTTATTTTTTTTTTAATTTTTTTTTTTCAAATTAAATCAAAAATTACAAAACGAAAAACGGAAAGAAAAGATGTGAAATAAAATTCGTTAAAAAAATAATTTCACGCAACATTTCTCTCCCCCTAAGGGGTTGTGTTTGATACACTATTCGAACGCATGAAATTGAAAAAAAAAAAACAAACAAACGAAACGAAACGAAATGAAAAAAAGAAAGAAGAACCATTCGGTGGAAATTTCGTATGTGGCTAATTAAAAAAAGAAAAGAAAAAGAAGAAAAAAGGAAACATAATTAATTAAATAAATAATTTAAGAACGACGATGTCGCGACGCCGTTTTAGGGCTTTTTAACAAACAAATAAAAAGAAAAGAAAAAATAATCATGCGATTTAGGTAGAGAAGACACATTTTAGGCGCGAAGATTCAATGTGTAAATGTTTGTTTGAATCAAAAAAAAAATTCTAATGTCGAAGAGCGGTTGGTCCCCGATAAATCTCGCTTTAGACATATACATACACATATAAATATATATATATAAATATAATAATRATGATGATTATTATTATTATTATAATATCGCACACGGCGACTCGTTCCTATATATAAGTAGCCGAAAAATAAATAAAAGGCGTTTTTTTCGAACGACTATTTTATGCGATAATTAAAAAAAAAGAAAGAAAGAAAGAAAAAAAAATGGAAATAAAAACGAGTGAGATGGATCATTCGCAAAACACCCCCACCCCGCCGCCATCGCTACCGCCATCGCTGCCGCCACCGCCGCCGCCGCCATTTTTGTCTTTCGATAAATTCAAGTGAAAAATTTAATGTACGTATGTATGTGTGTATTTATGTGTGCATGATGTATACCTACGTACGTACGTGTGTATGTGTGTATGTATGTTTGTATGTATGTATGTGTGTATTTCTTGAGACGAGAACGCGATGACCATACCGTTGAAAAGAAAAATTTACATTCATGGAATTAAAAAGAAAAAAACAACAAAAAAATATGAAAAAAAAAGGGGAAAAATTTGTTTATCAAAAAATCATTTCGTTTGACTTCGTTATGTGACGACTTTTCTTTCACGTCGTTCGTTCGTCATTGGTCGAATAATCCCGACTCGATAGGAAATCATTTTATTCTTTTTTTTTTACAAAATTTTTTAATGCCATAAGTAAAAATATCTGCCATATTCGAATATCAAAAAAGGGACGATTCGTTTGCCTACCGAACTTACATTTCCCCCACCGATAGAACATTCCATCCCCCCTCCCAACCTTTAACTCATTCATGATTTGAATATTTAAAAATAAAAAAATACTACATCATTATTATATAGGGTTTTAAATAGATGCTTTGCAACGCGAATTCGCAGAATATGATTTTAAGAAAAAACGATAATGAACGAGGTGTGTAAAAGGGATTTTCAAGTTTAATAAAAGTTCTTATTGTAATTAGATAGTCAAAACGAATCTTATTTAGTATAACGTCACACACCATTAATTATAAAACAAAAATTTGTGAAATTTAGATGTAAGCTTGCGGTTATCTATTTATTAATTGCGGATAAATATATAAATTAATTACATTATAAGTGATATTATAAATATAATAATAATAATAATAATAATAATAATAATAATAATAATAATAATAATAATAATAATAATAATAATAATAATAAATAATAATGAGTAATAAGAATAATAATAAGAATAAATAAAAGCAACAACAATAAAAATAATAATAATAATAATAACAATAATAAGGGAAAAAAGCGGAGAAATAAGAAAGAAAGTGAGGGAATTTAAATGGAAAAAAATAAAAGAGAAGAAAAAGATTAAGATGGTGGAAAGATGTAAGAGAAAGAGTATAAAGAAGGAACAAATTACCGGCCATACTAAACTAGGATTTTATATCGTGCGAAACTAACAAAAAATAATAATAATAATAATAATAATAATATTACTAAAGAAGAAAATAATAAAATAAAATAAAGTAAAATAAAAAGAACAGTTGAAGAAGATAATGATGAAGATGAAAAAAAGTAGTAGAAGAAGAAAAAGTGAGGTTAAAGAGAATAATAGCTCGATAATAATACTTCAGTGAATCCGGAATGAATGAAAAAATACTATATTATAATAATACAATACCCGCATATGATGAATGTTGTAATTCGCAAAAAGTATGGAGGATTGTGCGAAATTAAAAAAAAAAAAAGAAAAAAAAACAATGTAAAGAAAGAAGAAACAAAAATGTCACTGAGAAAAAAATGAAATAATGCTAATTGCCTCCTGGTTTTTGTGTGTCGTAACCTAAAAATCGCGTATATTTGCGGGATTTATCTTGTCCTGTGTACGAAAAACAAACAAACAAAAATGGAGAAAAATACTCACTAATAATAATCTCTCTCACGTGTTGTCTCCCATTTATTTTTCGATTATTCGCTTTTGCGTGTCGGTGATTACTCTGCGACCATAAAACCAGGTGCATCATCTGTGCTGCCCATATTTGCTTTTATAATATCTTTCCTTTTATTTTCTCTTATGATAATTCTTTTCTTTTACAAGAAGAACAAAATTGCAATTCAACACATTATCAACAATTTCAATCTAATGTACATCGTTTATTCATGTAAGAGTAAATATTACATACAAAAAAAAAGGAAAATGGTTACTCTTGGTTCAGTCTGCCATTTTGTTTTTGAATTCGACGCAAAATATCTGGTTGCAGAGATATCCACGACGTGACGATGAGGACCCATAAACCTTAGCAGGCATATTATATTATATTATATTATATTATATATTACATTATATTATATTACATTATATTATATTAAATTATATTATATTATATATTATATTATATATTATTATATTATAGAAAATTCTTGACAACATATTTAAATTGTAAGAAACATATTGATAAGCTATAAATGGCGGCCGACGAATCATGACGAAAACGACGAAGACGAAGACGAAGACTACGATGACGATGACGATTGATATTTTTAAGTAAATTTTGATACAATTTATAAAAGACGCGATACGCTATCGATCGATTGATTTTAAATGCAAACAATTTTTCTATCATCATCA